TTTTTTTTTTTTTTTTTTTTTTCAGTGACAATTTACATGTTTTTTCATGTGATTTACACAGATAATAATAAAAAAAAATATATATATATATTTAAATCTATTTTTTTTTTAAATTATAAAACCAGGTCATTTACGTAAATACATGAACATATGAATAATTTAAATAAAACACAAGCATTTAATTAACATAAATAATTGAACATTTGAATAATGAGTAAAAGAAATTTCATGAGTAGAACATGAATAGAACAAATTTCTTTTAAGAAAAAAATTGTTCGTAATAAAATGTTCTTTTGTACGACGTGACAATTTACGTGATGTTTTTTCCAATGATTTACACAGACATATATTTGCAAAAACATTCTTAAGTAAATTGCTGAATTAAATGGATTTGAACAGCCTCATTGTTTTTTTTTTTTACTAATCATGTCATCTACTCTGACTAAGGTCTATATCCTCCATTTGGCTCTCTGATTTAAAGAATATCTGTGCTGTCTAACTCTTAACTCACTTTAAGTTAATAATTTGTGAGTCGCCACATTTCATCACCCCCTGCCCAGGTATTAGATTATTCCCGAATGTTGAGTGGAGTGTTTGGCATGTTCTCTTCTGCAGCCGATCACTTCTGCAGATGTGCTGTCTCATATTCACCAAAACCAGATCAGTCGGGCCAGGAGCGAGTGACGCATGCAATGATCAATTGACCCGTGCTGTGGTTACGTAGGCACCAAACGCATCATTACTGGTTTGGTTTTAACCACTGCATGCCACCACACTGACTGTATGTGCTTTCACAGAGACATGTTCTGTAGCTGAAGCCTGACGTTTGTCGGAAAGACATGACACTGATCTGATGTTGTTTTAGAGACAATTGTTGCTTCTCTAGCCATGCTTTTTAATATGATATTAAAGGAAATCAGTTTTAATATATGTCAACAAATGTTTTGATTTAATGACTCTTAAAATGTCATTAAATATTAGTAAAATAATTTCCTTACTTGAAAGTATTTGTGTACATCCTAATCATTATTTAAAATTCTTTATTGTTTTTATTATTTTCAGTTTTTGCCAAGTATTTATACCATTTGACAGACTGAATAAACCTACAACTCAACTGTGATTAAAAAGATAAAGTTATCTAAAGACATTGACACAGTCATATGTAGTAAATTATATATAGTAAATTAATTTTAATTCCGAAATTGGAAACATTCATAATATTGAAAAAAATGTAAAATGATTTGTACTATTATATTATTTAATTATTCAATAATTTTATAATAAATAAACATTAAAAAAATAAATACACAAGTAATATTTTAAAATAATAAATAAATATTTTTCAAAAGGTAAAAGAAAAAAAGAGACATATGTATATGTGTGTGTGTGTGTGTAATAATTTTGGGGGGGAAAATAAAGACCTAGGGTTTTTTTTTAACTTAAAAATAAAAAATATTTTTAATTCAGAAATTGAAAACATACATAATATAATAATAAAATAGAAAATAATTTGTACTGTACTGTCATTTAATTTTTCAATGATTGAAAAATACATAAATGTGACCCTGGAGCACAAAAGCAGTCTTAAGTCGCTGGGGTATATTTGTAGCAATAGCCAAAAATACATTGTATGGGTCAAAATTATTGAGTTTTCTTTTATGCCAAAAATCATTAGGATATTAAGTAAAGATCATGTTCCATGAAGATATTTTGTAAATTTCCTACTGTAAATATATAAAAACTTAATTTTTGATTAGTAATATGCATTGCTAAGAACTTCATTTGGACAACTTTAAAGGAGATTTTCTCAATATTTTGATTTTTTTGCACCCTCAGACTCCAGATTTTCAAATAGTTGTATCTGTACCAAATATTGTCCTATCCTAACAAACAATACATCAATGGAAAGCTTATTTATTCAGCTTTCATATGATGTATAAATCTCAATTTTGAAAAATTGACCCTTATGACTGGTTTTGTGGTCCAGGGTCACAAATATCTTAAAATTAATTAATGCATAAATTATATTTTTAATTAATAGATTTTTTTTTTAAATATAAAAGAAACAAGAGACATATATATATATATATATAATTTGATTCTATAATTTTGGATTATAAAATAGACCTAAAATTTAATTCACAAATTGAAAACATTCATAATATAGAAAATATTTTTACTGCTTTATTATTTAATTTAATATTTAATGAAATATTTTAGAATAAATAAATATATTTAATAATTAAAAAATATTTTTAAATTAGTAGATCTGGATACACACAAAAAAATAGTTTGAACAAGATCTTCTCAAAATGCTTTAAAGTAGCATCCCTTTTTCTATACATAGCTTGGATAAGCCTCATTTGTTGGTTTGTAACAGCGAGGGCTGTTTTTTGGGCAGCAGTCCGCCCATCTGGATACTATGAGATATATTATTAGCAGCGAGTCAGGGAGGGCGTAAGAAATCAGGTTTTTTGATCTCTCTCTGTAACCCTTGGTCTGGAAGTTATTGGGCAATAACTTCTGCCTCCCAGAAATGCCCCCCTTCAGCGTCACACTAATGGATGGCATCTGCTTTGCCTTTATCTTCACATGTTCCCAGAAGAAAACACGCTTATAATTGGTGGCCCATTGCATACTTGCATTTTCAGCTCCACACATCCAAAAAAAAAAAAATTGCTGGAAAGAGTCAAGACGTAAAACGTAATGGTTCTGTATTTGATTTTGAGGTCGTTTTTTTTTTTTTATAGTTTAAGTAATTTGCTTAGAGTGATGATAAGATGTCCGACTGATAGAAACTGCAAATTGCTTCCTGTTTGTTTCCGAAACTCAAATGCAGAATGGTTTCATATATTGTGATTTCTCCTTCGATCCTTCTCTGTTATGCACTAGGTGTCTCTGGTTCAGTGGACGGAGAGTGTCGGTCTGACGCTGGTCGGTAGAGATCAGTCTTCAATGCAGCTGAGGACACCTAGTGGACAAATACTGAACTTCACCATCCTGCAGGCTTTCCCCTTTACCTACGAGAGCAAACGCATGGGCATCATAGTGCGAGTAAGCATTGCATCCAGCGGTTTTGGATCATCTTGACACAGAAACACAAGTGTCCCTAAACTCCATTAACTTCAAAAATGACCTGTCTGACATATAGAAGGATGACATGTATATTAAATTAGAAAAAACACGAAATAGAAGAATTTTCACTACTGTATTTATTATGATAGATGTGTTTTGTAATATTTAATGGCTATACAAAAAAATGGTATAGGATTTACTTTTGTTTAGAATTTTCACCAAAAGTGCTAGTAAATTTCACAAATAGTTACAAAGAAACGGCAAGTAACAAACTGAATCTGAAATTTTGAAGTAGTTAGACTCGATTAATATTTTCTTGTATAACATACTCCTATAATATTTGCTTTATTTACTTCGAAAAATAATTTTTACAGTGTAGTTGAACTTTTTTTCTAATTTTGGTATAATTACTTGCAGGCTGGCCTCATGTTAATTGAGAAACTATGCATTTGTATTTTTAAAAAAAAATTATTTGTCAACCAACAGGACAATTATAGATTAATAATGGTGGATAAATGTAAAGGTCACACTTTTACAGTAAATTTGTTTATGCATCCGGTATTATGAACTAACAATGAACAATACTTTTTTATAGCATTTATTAATCTTGGTTCATTTTAATTTCTACTAAAGCATTTGTAACATTTCAAGTTAATTAAAATGTATTAATGTATTATGAACAAATGATGAAAAAAATTAACAATGAACAATATTATATTTTTAAGTTAACTTGCACAAATCAATTCTGTAAAAATAGTTATTAGTTATTCATTGTTAACTCATGATGTGCAATGCATTAAAGGCAGGGTATGTGATTTTTCAAAAACACTTTAGAAAAACTAATAACAAATTAAACCTTGTTAAAAAAGTTACTAGCATAAGAAATTATGACCAATCACCAACCTGACCAACCAAAAAAATACACTTTTATATATATATATATATATATACACACGTGAATGGCACCTCATATCAAGAGGTTTGTTGTGGAAATGTGGGCTGTTACTTTACTAAGTGATCAGCCTTCAGATTTTTGCCTGGAAAACAATCCACCCCACCTTGGCAACCGCATAGCAATGCCCTGGCAACCACCCCTGCAAACAACCTAGTATTTTGAGTTTTGCACAGGCATTTACACAAGAGAATGTGAAAATCTAGTTTGTACGTCAGCCTTTTAAACAATGCAATAATTGAAGATCAGCCCAAAAATGATATGACTAGACTGAGTGTTATCTGAGAAAGTTGTGACCCTGCCCTGGGCTTGATGACTAACTCTCCCCGTACGAGCTCGCAGCTATTGTTGTTGGCCTGGACCGAAGCCTGTATCAGTGTTTGAGGAAACCAGCAACTGAACCTGGTTTCCTCTGCAGAATCCTTTTAAAACACCTTCAAGGACGATCAAGGAAACCCAAAATTAATCTCCCATAATGCTTGGAACAAAACGGCACAGACTGTCCCGCTTCCCTGTGAACCTTTCCTGGCAACTTGATACATTGAGTATCATTGATCCTGAGATCTGATGCTGCCATATTCCTCAGTGTCAGTGTCTATACATAAATAATAAACTCTTTAAGAACAAAGCATATTCTGCTCATGTTTGTTAGGATGAATCCACAGGAGAGATCACGTTTTACTTGAAGGGTGCTGATGTGGTGATGGCTGGTATTGTTCAGTACAACGACTGGCTAGAGGAGGAGGTAATCGCACGTTTTTTTAAACATCAACAAATATGAAATGATTTTAAATTGACGTCATGCTTATGCTTATGTTTTCTGCTTTCTTTGTCAGTGTGGGAATATGGCCAGGGAAGGCTTGAGGGTGCTAGTGGTGGCCAAAAAATCCCTCACAGTTGAACAATACCAAGATTTTGAGGTGAGTTTCCAATGCTTAGTCATTAGAAAGTTTGCTATGGAACAAAATACTGTGGTGAATAATTGCTGATAGATTGGTGTATTAATATCGGGAATTTAAGGTCTTGGCCCCCAAAAAAAACATGGAAAGAAAATGATGTGGTAAATCCATCATGCAGCAGTTATTGTGGATGGTTATATAATTTTACACTATCATTCAAAAGTTTGGTGTTTTTGAAAGAAGTCTCTTATGCTCACCATGGCTGCATGAATAAAAGTACTGTAAAAAAGAATAATATTGTGAAATATTATTACAATTTATAATGTGTGTTTTCTATTCGATTATATTTTAAAATGTAATTTATTCCTGTGATCAAAGCTGAATTTTCAGCATCATTACTCCAGTCTTCAGTGTCACATGATCCTTCAGAAATCATTCTAATATGCTGATCTGCTGCTCAAGAAACATTTCTGATTATTATCAATGTTGAAAACAGTTGTACTGCTTCATATTTTTGTGGAAACCATATATCACATTTTTTTCAGGAATATTTGATGAATAGAAAGTTCAAAAGAAGAGCATTTATTTGAAATAGAAACCTTTGTAACATTATAAATGGAATTACGGTATTAAAAATAAAATATATAAATATAATATATAACATGAAGATAATAAAATCATTATTAAATTATTACAAAAATATAAAAATATAATTTTATATTATTATTTTGAAAAAATATTCCAATTCAGTCTGGCAGTAGATCTGATTTACACGTCAACAACTCTGACACATTGAGAGCATTTCACAGACGGTTACAGCCACCAGGAAGTTAACGCTGGTTGACGGCTATTTGACTTCCAAATGACAAATAACTCAAGCTCACATCAGCAGAATAATTCACTTTTGTAAAGCCATCAGTCAATTAAAAATGTAACCAAATTATTTGCATTCAAGGTTGACTTTCTCTGATAAAGACAGGGTGCATGGTTCATTGCAGTCAATGAACGATGAGGTGGATTCTTTTTAAGACATAGACCAGGGGTTCTTAAAGGGATAGTTCACCAAATAATGAAAATTCTGTCATCGTTTACTCACCTACAAGTTATTCCATTCTTCTGTTGAGCACCAAAAAGATATTTTGAAGAATGTTGGTAGCCGAACAGTTGACGGTAGCCATTGACTTCCATAGTATGGGAAAAGTCACGAACAGCATGGAAAAACAATGCTAAATGGAAATAATAACATGCAACAAACCACGTTATGGTCCATCATTAGAACTGCAAAATTTCTTTATTTGAAAGGGAGGAGAAAACACTTCATATATCTTTTGTTCCTGATGGTCACAGGCCGTAAATCCAGTCGAGCTGAAATCAAAATATTATGGTTGGTAATATATTATGCTTGGTAATATGACTATGCAAATAACATATTTGGCCAACGTGTCTGTTTTCTTTTCAGCCTATGTCATATGAATAATTTAGCATTTTTGTCCTATACAGACCTTGTTCAGATTAATAAGTGACATATTTTGTACAGTTTGTTTAGTGTAAAACATGGGTCCTGAGAACTGCTGGTATAGACCGTGACCTTTGGATGTTTATAACTACAATATCCAGGTGCTGATCTATATTTAGTCAGATTAAGCGGTTTCCTAGCAACCATCCATCGTCAACAGTAATTGTCAAAAAGAAATGTAACATGTTTTCCACAGGGAACACCCCCAAAATGAAAGTTACCCCGCCCACACGCACAGAGAAAGAGTTGTTTCTTCTCCCAGGCCCATGTTCCCACTCTCCGAGCTGAAGTGTGTAATTGTGTGTGAGCGGGTGGGCGGCGGTGACTCACCGAGTGTGTGAGTCACCAAGTGAGAGTGTGTTCCTGTCTGACTCGCGCACACATTGTTTGCTCTTTATCTCACTGCGATTGTGGGCCGTGCCCTCAAAACTGCGCTCTGGCTTCACTCAACAGAGTGGCGTGTCGGTTTGAGGGGTCAGTGCCAGGGTGTGTGATGTGACTGCAGATGGAGAACTCTCTCATCTGGCATGTCTGATAAAAAACAGCAGTTTAGAGATCAGAATTAGATGCATTTTAGCTAATCACTGCGATAAATAAAATAGCAGATGGGAAAAGCATGAACAAATATAATGAACAGTGTGTCATTGCATCTGTTAGATCCAAAGATATGTGCAGAATGAAAATGACTATAAAACAGGGAGGGTTTTACTAATTAGCAGGGCTTAACGACCCCAAACTTGACTCCAAGTTGTTCAAATTGAAAATAAATTAAGGGTACTGGCAATCTTCTTGTTTGCAAATAATAATAATCAGGGCTTATCATCACAGTTTCATTCAGCAAGCCAATAAATGTTGTCAATAAATAAATATTTTTTTTAAATGTTTTTTTAGACTTAATGTGATTCTCTGTTTTTATGTGCTAAATTTTGTCTTTAAATATAGTGCACATATTTAATGTATATTTATCATGCACAGTTTGCAAAAATATGTGGGTGTAACTATTAAAATTATATTTCAGTGCCAATATGTTTTGCTTTTTTAATGCCTTAAAACAATAATGATAACAGTAATTTAACAATTATTATTATTATTAGGCATTTAAACATAATGATTATTATTATATTTAATAATAATTTGAACAATTAATAATAATAAATGCTATTATTATACTTAATATAATTATTGTTATAATTAAACAATAATATCACTTATTATTATTATTAGTAGTAAAATAATAACAGTAGTTTTTAATTATTATTATAATGATAATTTATTATTATTATTATTTAAAGGGGACATAGCACAATTTCTGCCAATCTCATGTTAATCTTGAGTACCTGTATATAGTAGTATTGCATCCTTCATATCTCCGAAGAGTCTTTAGTTTTTATCAGATTTATAAAAGGCAGATACAGCTTTACGCTTCTCTCCGAAAACAGCCGAATGAAGCACCCCCACAAAATGTTGTTTCTTCCCTTAAAGGGGTCATATGATGCGATTTCAAGTTTTCCTTTCTCAGGAACTGTATGCATTAAATATATATTAAATATATGCATTATATTTATAGACAAATTTCTGCACGTAAAAATTTATAAAAATAATCACAAACTCAAAAAAAAATCTGATTATTTTAAATATTGACAGTCACAGTACTTATTTATTTGCTTGGAAATGGTTGTCTGTGTGCAACGTAATGGCCAAAATATATGAGAAATGTCAAATCTTAAAGATATTCTTTATTTTTATAGTATTATTCCTATTGTTTATTTTGTATGAAGTAATAGCAAATATAGTGAATAAGAAATCCTTGCATCTTTAACACCACTTTTAATGTACTGTGTTACGTCAGGTAAAATGAAGAAAAGAAATGTGTGTTACTTATGTTGTGTCTAACATCATTCACATGTGCAGGCTCGCTACGTCCAGGCCAAGCTGAGCGTTCACGATCGTTCGCTGAAGGTGGCCACAGTGATAGAGAGTCTGGAGATGGAGATGGAGCTCTTGTGTCTTACTGGAGTCGAGGACCAGCTTCAGGCCGATGTCAGACCCACTCTGGAGATACTGCGCAACGCTGGCATCAAAGTCAGTGTCGGCACGCACAAACATGCACAGACAATGAGATTTGACTGTGGGCGGAGCTCCCCGGCACAATGCGCCAAAAATAGTAGCGTTTATCAAAATGTCTTAACATGCAATGCTTTTGCCAGTTGAAGCTGTTCAGGACAAAAACTCAAAATTAAAATGAAAAGATGGGATTTATCAATGCTTTACAATGTCATGATTGATTTGGAACGCTAAAATGTCTAAAAAACACAAATCTGGGGCGGTACCCTTTCAAAAGGTACTAATATGTGCCTTTAAGATACTATTATGTATCCTTTAGGGGTAAATATGGTACTTTTTAGCTTTTTTACCTTAAGTTACCACCCCATTGACAGCTCTTAACTTTTTTCCTGAAAGTGTATAGTCTGTACAGTGTAGGATTTCACTGTGCGCCTCTAAAATGAGTTGTTTGTTGACGTGTTAACACGAGTGCTTGGGTACATCAATGTCAAGCCTAATTTAACTAAACCTGTTCTTTGTCCAGGTTTGGATGCTGACCGGGGACAAATTAGAGACTGCAACCTGCACAGCCAAAAACGCCCATCTAGTGACCCGCAATCAGGACATCCACGTGTTCAGGCCTGTAAGTCCTCTCTAGACTACATATTTCAACCATTATTTTTAAATAGGTCATATCTTATTCTTCTATAATGATTTATTTCCCCCTGAGGTTAAGTAATAAGGTTTCTTGCACCAGAAAAATATATCCCAGTTTCTCCCTGACCCGTTGAAACAGGCTCTAGGTCCTTAAACAAACTCTAGGATCTGTGCAGGAAAAAATGAGCAACGCTTATTTTCGGCTTGCAAATCTTTCATTATGTTGTAGTAGATATTTTAACGGTGCCCTATTCTTTCTCAAGGCACTTAATGTGAAAAGACTTGTATTTTTTTGGATGGCCTCTAGTAAAGGGTTTGGGGTGTGCTTGTTATTTAGGTGCCATCAGACAAACAGTGTTTCAGGATGTCATTTCAGGAGAAAAAAATCTGTAAATGAGAGCCCATGAGCAACGATGGCAGTTGAGTAGTTGCCATTGTGATGAATGGGAATGCTAACCAATATTATAGACCTCCTTGACCAAAATTATCAGAGACATTATCGGTCAGAAATATTACACTACTGTTCAAAGGTCTGGGGTGAGTAAGATTTATAATGTTTTAGAAAGAGGTCTTCTCACCAAGGGTGCATTTATTTGATCAAAAATACAGTAAAAACTGTAATAATGTGAAATATTATTGCAATTTAAAATAACGGTTTTCTATTTTAATATATTTTAAAATGTAATTTATTCCTGTGATCCAAGCTGAATATTCAGCATCATTACTCCAGTCTTCAGTGTCACATGATCCTTCGGAAATCATTCTAATATGCTGATTTGCTGCTAAAGAAACATTTATATTAATGTTAACTATTATTATCAATGTTAAAAACAGTTGTGCTGCTTCATTATTTTGTGGGAAGTGTGATACATTGTTCTTTTCAGGATTCTTTGATGAATTAAAAGTTCAAAAAGAACAGCATTTATTTGAAAAATAAACCTTTTGTAACATTATAAATGTCTTTACTGTAAATTTTGATCAATTAAATGCGTCCTTGCTAAATAAAACTATAAACAGCAACTTTTGAACAGTAGTGTACTAGCTCAATAAATCTTGTCTCACACCCAAATGTCTCCAACACAAATGGACTCCAAAGCTTGATTGAGTTTAGTAGCCTTCATTGAACCAAACAGGGAAAGTAGCTTCCTGAAGCCTCCCTGTGCCCTTTCTCTGTGAAACCTGACTCTATGAGCTCTTGTGGAGTTCCCATGTGCCGTGCTGCCACAGAAAGAGGAAGGCTGAATCTTCCTCACAGCAGCGGTTCCTGGAAACAGAAGACAATGGCTGGCACAACATGAAAACAGGCACCTCGTTCCTTGCAGATCGAAGCGGCATCTGGATTGACTTCCTCCTGGACACAAATGGCATCCAGATTGAGGTCTGGTGTATTTGAAATTGACAGATGAATTGCTCTGGTGCGAATGTCCACCGATTAGAAAACATCCTCTCTGTTGGCGAGGAGTTTTGGATGGATTTATGTGTCCAAATTGGTTTTGGAATATTGTCTGTTTTTGCTCAGTTTCGTGAACGAAAATATTTCTAACAATGCCACAGCAGAACTGTTGTGTGTCTTTGAGCAACACACAGCGGTGTTTCGTTACTGAATGAATCAGCTGTTTGAACGAATCAAGTGAGTCAGTGATTCAATGACCCATTCATAATAACAGTCCCTTGTTTCGTTACCGAATGAATCAGCCATTTGAATGAATCTTGTGAGTCAATGATTCAGTGACCCATTCATAAAGACAGTCACTTGCTTAATTTCTGAATGAATCAGATGTTTGAATGAATCGAGTGAGTCAATGATTCAATGTCCCATTTGTAAAGAAAGTCACTAGCTTTGTTTGTGAATGAATCAGCCGTTTGAACAAATCGAACGAGTTAATGATTCAATGACCCATTCATTACGCCAGTCACTTGTTTTGTTACTGAATGAATCAGGTGTTTGAACGAATCTTGTGAGTCAATGATTCAGTGACCCATTCATAAAGTCACTTGCTTCATTTCTGAATGAATCAGATTTTTGAATGAATCGAGTGAGTCAATGATTCAATGTCCCATTTGTAAAGACAGTCACTTACTTCATTCTTGAATGAATCAGCCATTTGAACGAATCTAGTGATTCAGTGATTCAGTGACCCCTTCATAAAGACAGTCATTTGCTTCATTTCTGAATTAATCGAGTGAGTCAGTGATTCAATGACCAATTCATAAAGACAGTAACTTTTTTCATTCTTGAATGGATCAGCTGTTTGTACGAATCGGTTGAATGAATGACTGAATGACTCACGCATTAAAGGAACACTCCACTATTTTTGAAAATAGGCTCATTTTCCAACTCCCCTAGAGTTAAACAGTTGAGTTTCACCGTTTTCGAATCCATTCAGCCGATCTCCAGGTCTGGCGACTACCTGCTTGCACAGGGAGCGTGCTGGGGACTATTTCCAGGCGCTGCGTAATATCATTGCGACTGAATGGATTCAAAAACGGTAAAACTCAACTGTTTAACTCTAGGGGAGTTGGAAAATGAGCCTATTTTCAAAAATAGTTCCTTTAAGGCGATTTTGGTTTCATATTTAGAGTATAATTAAATTTTTTTATATATATAATTTCATATTTCAATTTTAATTAAAGAAAACATTAATACCCATTTACTGTCATTGTTTATGCAATGTTGAATTGAAATATTTCTTTATAAAGCTAGTATTGTCTATTCAATGCTTTTCCCATCTAACACAATAATAGCTTTAAATGATCTTTGAGGTGATGCAAGGCTGAATTTTCAGCAGCCTTTCCTTCAGTCTTCAGTGTCACGTGATACTTCAGAAATCATTCTCATATGCTGAATATATGCTGCTTAGGAAACATTTTATTGGTTTTGGTTCATGTTTTAAGAAAATTATAAAGGAATAGTTGATCTGAAAATCATTTACTCACCTCTTTGTCTTCCCAAATGTGTATGGCGTTTCTCGTATGGAAAAGAACAGCGTGAACATTCTTACTAACATCTCCTTTAGTGGTTCACAGCGGAAAGTAAGTCATATAGGTTTGAATACAACATAAGGGTGAGTTTGTTTTAAACCTTTTAATCTAACGTCTTGAGCAAGCAATATCTGCCCAAAAGCCATCTGTAAATACAAAAACAACAGTTAGTTATAGTGAACTTCCTGTGTGAAACTAGCAGACAGCAGGCGAAGTAAACCTCACAGTTTAGACGGTTGAGCAGATCGCTAGTTGAATCTGGCACGGTCTGCCACGCAACTGACAGCTGAAGTTAATATCTCAGTCTGGGGATCTTGCTGCGGTTCACCGCTAGTGTTTCTGAGATCATTATCCGAGTGGCTGCTCGTGTGTTTGTGTGAGCAAAAACAGTCCTGACGGTGAGCACTCCGATGGGTTGCAGGTAACCACTCGAAGCGAAGCCCACCTTGAGCTCAACGCCTTCAGGAGGAAACACGACTGCGCGCTGGTGATATCGGGAGACTCTCTGGAGGTAACGTGAGCCTGCATGTACGCATTCGATTCGAACAAACCCCTAACACTTTTACCGACTCAAGCCGCATTGTTTGTGTAGCAGACATTAATAACACATCAAATCATGCAACTTGTGCTGTTACTTTGTGATCAGACTTATCTACCGGACGATAAAATCTCGAGACAATAATATAGAGTCTCTAGACTCGGGCCACCCTAGCAACTTCCTTGAAACCACCCAGAACAACCCAGCAACAACATACACTAACGTTCAAAAGTTTGGATTATTTAAATGTTTTTGAAAGAAGGAAATGTTTACCCAGGCTGCATTTATTTGATCAAATGTACAGTGAAAACAGTAATATTGTGAAATATTATTACAATTTAAAAGAACTGTTTTTTTATTTGAATATGTTTTAAATTGTAATTTATTCCTGTGATGCAAAGCTAAATTTTCAGCATCATTACTCCAGTCTTCAGTGTCACATGATCCTTCAGAAATCATTCTAATATGCTGATTTGCTGCTCAAAAATCAATTTTGCTCAAGTATCCATTTTGAAAACAGTTATGCTGCTTATTAATTTTTTTGTTTTCATTTTTTTCAAGATTCTTTGATGAATGGAAAATTCAAAAGAACAGCATTTATTTGAAATAGAAATGTTTTGTAACATTTTATAGTCTTTACTGTCACATTTGATAAATTTAATGCATCCTTGCTGAATAAAAATATTAATTTCTTTCATTAAAAAATTGTACTGATCCCAAACTTTTCAAATTTAGTGTATTAGCACATGAATACCCTGAATACCTTATCAACTGCATAGCAAACCCCTAGCAACCACTCCAAATACACTAGCATCATGGAAGACAGTTTTGCATTGGCAGGAACCACTCAGTTTTTTTTCTTCCAGAAAATGGAAAAAATTATTTTTATATGAACCTCAATCAGAGTACTGATAAATCTGTAGATATTAGTATAAAATATGATTGTTATAATGAGGTTAAGATTTGATTAATTTGCCTCATATGTGTGTAATTTGTGTGATATAGCCTCTTTTTTTCTGTTATTTTTATTTATTTATTATTTTTTTGAAGATGTCTCATGATGTTTGCATTTTCAGTAAATGACCAGTTTGATCAATAGTTTGTTTCAGGTTTTATTTATGGAGGTTTTGTGCCATCATTCTCTGGCCTTCAGTATTGATTTGTCTGTCTGCTGTCTCTGTTCTCAGTTCTGCTGTTGGTGTACTTGTTGCAGGTCTGTCTGAAGTATTATGAGTATGAGTTTATGGAGTTGGCGTGTCAGTGTCCGGCCATCGTGTGCTGCCGCTGCGCTCCCACACAGAAAGCTCAGATCGTTCGTCTGCTGCAGGAACGCACCGGCAAACTCACCTGCGCCGTGGGTGAGTACGCAACTTCCTCTCGGCCCTCTGCACTTCCTGTGCCATTAAAAGACTTAATGGTAACAATAACATTTAATTTGTTAACATTAGTTAACTACATTAGTTAATAATAATTCTTCAGCATTTTTCAATAATGAAATAATTTCCGCATTCACTAATACATTATTAAAAATCAAAAGATATATATGTTAATATTATTTAATGGACCTGAGCTAACACAAACTAACAATGAGCGGTGGAATTTTATTTATTTTATTTTATTTTAATAAATACAGTAACAAATGTCTTGCTCATTGTTAGTTAATGCTAGTTAATGCATTAACTAATGTTAACTAATAGGACCTTATTGTGAAGTGTTACCCACTTAATTATTGCAGTCTTTGTTTTTTGTTTTTATCTTTTATTTTAACTTCTAAGTATTTTTATTCATGGGCATGGATCAACACAGATTTCATTACATTAATTTATTAATATTATTTATCTGTATTAATAAATATAATAGGGATGGACCGATATAGACATTTAAAGCTATAATTTAGAATATGAACTGCTTAAAATTAAATTAGGCATAAAAACATTGTACCTTGAAAAAACTAAGCAATAATATTAGCCAATAACACTATAGTTATCAATATATAAAGTTGATATTATCACAGGGTTATTATCATTATCTAAAACCATAAAAAAATACTTATAAAATAAACTATACTAATGAAAATTAAATAAAATATAAAAACAACTTAAACGTATTTCATGTTAGCTAGTTGTCAAAGCAACTTTTCTCATTTTTGTTACTAAATAAACTAAAACATTAATACATACTATATAGACATTTAACTCTTTCCCTGCCATTGACAAGTTATCTCGTCTTTTAGAAGAAAACGCTTCCCCGCCAAAGACGAGTTTTTACGGCTTTTCGTTTTTTCACTGTTATACACTCGGGGGCGCTATTACGCATCTTCTGAACGAGTACAAAACCTCCCGAACAAAAACACACGTGAACAGGACGGAGAAACGAGCGATCTCTTATGTAAACAGATGCATATGAAAATAATGCGATCATCAGCAATAGACAGCATATAAATGAAAACTGCATAATGTTACGGAGTAAAATGTTGATCCAGGTATATGTCTGTGCAAGCTTTGGAGGTGTTGATGGAATCGATTTACTGGATTTATGCTTTGATAATCGTACTGAATATTATCCAGATGTAGTTTTTGATAAAAATGGGGTTTTCTCACCTTTTTGCTCAAAATTATGCATTTTTATGAAACCTTACCTATATTCAAGTGTTGATTAAAAAAAGAATGCTTTAAGCTAGGATAAAAGTAGAGGCTCTGGTCTTTATTTTGGTGTATTGCATATTCAAATATTCATACAGCAAATATACTGGAGGCCATAAAATTTTAGTGAAAATCATCCAAATCGCTGGCGGTGGCTGGCAACTTTTTAAAAAAATGCTGGCGGGGAAAAAGTTAAAAAGCAAAATTATTAAAACTTTTACTAAAATTAAAATATAAAAATAAATTACATTTATGCTTTTTAATTTAATTAATATTTTTATTCAAAATATTAACTAAAGCTATGATAATATATCACTGATACTAATATGACAGTGCCTTTTCATAAGGTCTCGATCTGGGTCACGGCACCAGCTGTCTCTGGCTCATCACTGGCTGTTTTCTCTTTCTCAGGGGATGGAGGAAATGATGTCAGCATGATCCAGGAAGCAGACTGTGGCGTGGGAGTGGAGGGCAAAGTAAGAGCTACCACTTCCCAGAGCAGCAGTCCTGTCAAAAACACTTTCGCCTGCTTCCGAAGGCTTCCGTCCATCTGCACTCGCTGCGTCAAACACACATGCAGCACAGAGATTCTCACATTTCTTACGTTACATGACACTGAAAGCTCAGCTGTGTTCTCATGTAAAATCACTTCACACATTTACACACCACAACTTCCCACAACTGATCTACAGCGTGTGATAGTCAGCATAAAATCTAAATTCACTCTAGTTATTTTCTAAAAACAAGCTCCTGGGACTTAATGTTATTTTAAACAATACAATGTTTTTTTTTTTTATAATCTTTCTTCAAATAGTAATAACTTTCTCAGCCTCTGAAACAACTTTAATTGGTAATCATTATTTAAATTCATTTCATTTCATTTAAGCAGTAAGGTAGATGAGGCCACACTATATTGAGTGCACTAGCATTCAACAACTGACTGGTTTATCTAGTTTATTAATTAGTTTTTCATAGCTGTATTGACTAATTAAGACCTGAACCATCTGTTTTAATATCAGAAATAATATTGTGTTCAACTAGTTTATCTACAGCTTTTTTCTTATTGATTTATATTTATATTTTATTGTTTTTATATAAATAGTTCAGCTAGAGATATATTAGTTTTTCATATGCCTAGCTGTATCAACCAATAATTATGTTTATATAGATATATATAGATGTATATTTTAGTGGTTTATTTTTAGTGATTCTTTAATTATAATAGCTAATAGTTTGTCATATTCCTAGCTGATTAATCAAGACAGGAGCCATCCATCTTAATATCAGAAATATTAATGTGTTCTTCATAAACCTATAGTTTTTCATAAACCTAGCTGTATTGACTCATTTTTTATTTTATTTTATTTTAATTTATATAAATAGTTCAGCTAGGGATATGGTAGTTTTTCATAAACCTAGCTGTATTGATTTTTTTTGTTTATTTTATTTTAGTTTTTAATTTTTAATTTTAATTTTTAGAAGCAATTTAGTCATAATAGTTAATAGTCTTTCATATTCCTAGCTGTTCTGATTAATCAAGAACCAGTCATCTCAATATCAGATATATTAATGTGTTCAACTAATTTATCTGCCATTTTTTATTATTTATTTTTATTTATTTTATCTAGATTTTATTTTATATAAATATTTCAGCTAAGGATAGCTTTTCATTAACCTAGCTGTATTGAATAATCATTTTATTTTTAATGGTGATTATTTAATTACAACACTTAATCGTTTTTCATATTTTGAGCTATTTTGATCAATCAAGACCAGAACCATCCATCTTAATAGCAGAAATATTCATGTGTTTAACTAATTTATCTGCAGTTTTTTATTATTTGTTTACATTTTTATTTTATTGTTTTATTTTATTTTATCTAGTTTTTATTATATTTTATATAAATAGTTTTTCATATACTTAGCTGTATTGACTAACAATTATTTATTTGCATTTGTATAATTTATAATTTATTATAATTTTATGTTTTATTTATTTTATTTTATTACATTTGATTTTATTATAAATAGGAATATATTCGTTTTTCATTTACCTAGCTATATTGACCAAAGATTTCAAAACAAGTAAGAAACTTCAGTGACTCTACATTGTTTATTTCAGGATGGTCTGACTTCAGGAAACCCACCCTGAGGTCGACGTCCAGTTTAGAAACACATTTTACACGTCAGACGTTTTATGAGTCTAAATGTACCTAAAATACTACAAAGCCAAGCTTGACCCAGTTGTGGTGGGCCAAGCGAGGTTTCCAGGTCATCCAAATGAGACGTTATGGGACGGTTAATTGATATTGAGTCATTCATGACTAACACAGCTTAAGCCTTGATTGACTTGACGTGGTTACGTGGGGCGTTGTTTTTGCTTCTCTCAGTCACTGCTGAACTTCCCAGTGATCCGAAGATGTTTAATATAGGCCGGCTTAATCTAGAAACCAGAAGACATCCATTTGTTTATTTCTCTGTGTGTGCAGGAAGGGAAGCAGGCGTCTCTGGCTGCAGATTTCTCCATCACTCAGTTTAAGCACTTGGGCAGACTGCTCATGGTCCACGGCAGAAACAGCTACAAGCGCTCCGCCGCGCTCAGCCAGTTTGTCATCCACCGGAGTCTCTGCATCAGCACCATGCAGGTAGCGTCTGCTGCTGTAATTAGCCACGGCTAGCCCATCAATCACAGCAGCCGTACATAAACACAGTGCAGCGATGAGCGCTTCATGTTTTAAAAAAAGAACGACACGTTTCAGGCAAAACTGTACTGCATTTACCCCGGTATAACACATTCATGTTAGTATATTGCTGCACTCTATTATATATTCATTTGCTGCAGGTGTTTTGATGCTTGTGAATAAACTTAAATATTATATATAGATTTACTATTATAACACTAACAAAAAAAAACTAAGCTATCATGGTAATATTACTTTTTTTTTAAACACACACCATAGTGTTACTATAGCATTGGTATGATTTTTGCACACAATATTAGTGTATTGCCATAGTTTTTTGGATGTATTCCACTGTGTGCAGTGGTAATTCCATGTTTTGTGTGTGTGTGTGTGTGTGTGTGTGTGTGTGTGTGTTTGTGTTTGCGTGTGTTTGCGTGTTTTTGGAGTCAGTAAATTTTTTTTTTTCTTTTTTTTTTTAAAGTAATGAATGCTTTTATTCAGCAAGGATGTGTTAAATTGATAAAAAGTGATAAGAAAGACTTACAATGTTAGAAAAGATTTCTATTTTAAATAAACGCTGTTCTTTTTAACTTTATTCATCAAATAATCTTGAAAAAGAAAGAATCACAAATTCCAAAAAAATATTGTAAATGGTAATAATATTTCAATCATGACAACTCTCTGAAGATTTTAGCATGGTGATGGATATGACAATGTTAATGTATTTGGTCTTGGCGGAATAGATCAATATAGCATGGCTTTGGTTGCCTGCTGTCTGACGTTTCTGCTGATGTTTCCACAGACCGTGTTCTCCTCTGTCTTCTACTTTGCATCTGTTCCACTTTATCAAGGCTTCCTCATTATCGGGTGAGTGTGCGAGTGCTGATGACTCATTTGCACTCGCTGAAATCTCGCTGGCATTTCAGACAGCTCTGACATTTGAGGATCGCTGAGGGTTTTGTTCCATCTAGATGTACGGCCACTGAGCTCGAAGAAGAGCTCCAGAGACATCTGACGGACATCAAAAGACTCTTTGTGATGTCTGAAGCGAACAAGGGGTTAAAGCTGGCAGGCTTAGGTCTGGTCTAATTCAGGGAAAATGATGAAACTCTCTACCAAGACAGTGAGAGGAAAAACGTGAAACTTCATCCACACGAGTACAGATGTCAATCCAGATCTATCACTTTGACTTTCTCTGCATATGACATATATGTGGATAAATTGTACAAGTCAGCAAAATGTCTAAAACTTTACTACATTTGGTGCATTTGACTTTTATTCACTGATAAATGTCAGAGCTTAATGATGTTTTCAATTAATGCTCTTTGGAACTTTCTATTCATCAAAGAATCCTGAAAAAATATATATTTTTATATGTACAAGCAGCACAACTGTTTTCAACATTGATGATAACAAGAAATGTTTACATTATTTTAAAACATAATTTTAAATGTTATAATAATCGTATTTAAACTGTAATTCAGTAATTACATAATTTTAAATGTTATTGTAAATTGTAATATTTTACATTATTACTGTATTTTTTATATTGATTTGATTTTGATATTGCATAAGTACAGCCTATACCCCTGGAGCACAAAACTAGTCTTAAGTCGCTGGGGTATATTTTTAGCAATAACCAAAAAAAACATTGTATGGGTCAAAATTATCGATTTTTCTTTTATGCCAAAAATCATTAGGATATTAAGTAAAGATCATGTTCCATGAAGATATTTTGTAAATTTCCTACCATAAATATATCAAAACTTAATTTTTGATTAGTAATATGCATGGCTAAGAACTTCATTTGGACAACTTTAAAGGCAATTTTCTCAATATTTTGAATTTTTTGCAGCCTCAGATTCCAGATTTTCAAATAGTTGTATCTCGGCCAAATATTGTCCTATCCTAACAAACCATACATCAATGGAAAGCTTATTTATTCAGCTTTCAGTTCATGTATCAATCTCAATTTAAAAAAATCGACCCTTATGACTGGTTTTGTGGTCCAGGGTCACATATTATCTTTTTTTTTTTCTGTGCCTCACAGATACTCCACTATCTACACCATGTTCCCAGTTTTCTCTCTGGTTTTGGATAAAGATGTCAAGTCTGAGGTGGCCATGTTATATCCTGAACTTTACAAAGATCTTCTAAAGGTATTTTTGACCCTGTCAGTCTCAAATTAATAACCGAAGACCATTTAGTTAATGTATCTTGCTTTTAAATATTAACAATTTTCTTTTTTTTTTTCAGGGACGGCCTCTCTCATTCAAAACCTTCTTAATATGGGTCTTGATCAGTATCTACCAAGGTAAGCGAATTCTCTGGTTATTTTACCCTATGGTCCGCAACAAGCTTCACTCAGTGAGCAATAGTGTGGAATTAAATATTAACAATTTTCATTTTTTTTTTCAGGGACGGCCTCTCTCATTCAAAACCTTCTTAATATGGGTCTTGATCAGTATCTACCAAGGTAAGCGAATTCTCTGGTTATTTTACCCTATGGTCCGCAACAAGCTTCACTCAGTGAGCAATAGTGTGGAAATTGAGAAGAGCAGTTATGTCTAGCGTAACTGTGATTGTAACGTCCATTCAGAGGCTTGTTAAGAAAACGGCAGCACTGTGCGAATGTGAATGTTGTTTCATCCAAACAAACCCACGCACGTGTTTTCGCTCGCCCGCGCTGAATAGTTTATTTGTGTCTGTGGCTATAATAGCCCAGTAACACAAGGAGCTTTTCCACGATTGCTGTCGATTGCTCCTCCCGCTGTCTTTGTGTGTAAATCTTTCAGCGTCACACCGCTGGTTCAGAAGGGGATTGTGTTTGCGTTAGACTGTGCTGGGTATTTCCTCACTTTCTTTGAGAGCTTGCTTTCAGAAGAGACGTCCTATATCCCTCATTACTCATCTGCTTTCACCCAAACGCAGGTTATTCTGCTCTTTGTGTTTTGGCTTCGGTTCCTATAGCATGCTTGCATTTGTGCTTTAAATAGAGCTGGAATTTCGTTTGCGTTCGAGCTCAGAGGTCACAATAACACTTCAGGACAGGAAGCGCTCAAAAACAGCTAAATCCATGGAAGTGTTCTTCCTTTTCCTGAGATGGCAGATAGGACAATCTCGGGGAATTTCTGTGCTCTCATAAAGTGAATCCTCCGTTCTGAGACAAATGTTTTCTTTTCATCTTGACCTCGATCATATATCTGCAGCTAAAAATGAATGGACAAAAGTTATTTATTTAACTTGAAAGAATGAACTTCTCAATCCTTTACTCCAATAATAACCTGCACACATAAATCGAAGTATAATAATATATATAATAATTGTACAAATCCATTGTATATATTATATCAGAAATTGCATATTTCAAATTTAGTGAAGCTGTCGAGTATGTTGTGTAATTTACTGAATCATTTGTTAAAAATGCACTTCTAAATATGCATATTTATTATAGGTGTAATTAAATATGTATATTTATTTTTTGTTGGATTTAGGCTATGTGTTAAGCAGTATATATAGATAGTTTTAGTAATGTGGTAATATATTTTATAATATAATTTTTTTCTGTATATAATTTCTAAATGTTATAATATATTTTATTATGTATTACATATATTATTGCAAATAAAATGTAATATAGTTCTTCATCTGAGGATTAATAAAATTTAAGCTCACAGGTTCTCTGTTTTTTTCTCTCATGAATGCCCTCGGCCCTCTGTGAGAGTAATTGACGTGGCACTGGCTGATGATCGTAGCCGAACTCCTCAGTCTGGCCTGCTACATCGCATCCCTCGTCTTCCTACACGAGTTCATCGGTCAGTATGCATTATAGACACATGGCTCCCAAATTACATGGAGATTATTTATTTATTTTTATTAAAAGATTTTAGTAATGTTATATTTATAAGGTAAAGATTATATTAATTTATTAATTTATTTATTTTTATTAAAAGATTTTAGTAATGTTATATTTATAAGGTAAAGATTATATTAATTAATTTATTTATTTATTGTTTAAGGCAAGACACTACAGGCAAAAACTTTTTTTCATGCATTGGTTAGTTTTGGGCTGTTTGGCTTTTCATAACATGTTTTTTCAGACTAGTGGAAAGAAAACATGCAAAATAGACGTGTGTGTTTATTTTATTGCACTTTATCTATGTATGTTTTTACATTTTAATTACGATACATATCATCAAGATTTTTTAAATCTTATTCATGTCCTTGTTCTTGTCATTTTAGTGGTCTTATATATTTCATCTATGCTTTCTGCTCAAGGTTTTGCTACTGTTTATATCCTATTATTGTCATGAAATCCTGTTGTTATTGAACGATCTTCAGACATGTGCAGGTAAAGAATGTGGCCACATTCCACAGAACCATTGGTGTTTTCCTCAGAGAGAGTTCAGTGTGAATCTCTAAAATGTGCCGGTCTTGCTGAGTCAGCATTCCAGCACGGCTGTTTCTGTGTTTGTAGCCGAGAGCGGCCCACAGCGCTGCAGAGGGAAATACCACAATCCTGCTCTCATTTCCTGCTGCGCTGATGCTACTCTGCCAAGGTCTCTGTGTTTATCTGAGCGCTTCTCCATTTCAAGAGTTGCACACTTTCTTACGCGGAAGAGCAATCGAGGATTCACATATTTCTGTTATTTTCGTTTTAATTCAGCAGTTTTTATAATAGAGCAGCTTCTCTACTAACAAGCTGCTCCTTGTTTCAACGAGTATCGCTGTTTTTGTTTGCACATGTAGCTTTACAGCCGAACAAACTGAGGTGATACTCAAACACGCACTGTGTGTCAAAATCATTCATGCATTCCTGAAGAGACAACCTTGTGGCTTAGTTTTAATATTGATATTCAAAATAATATAATAATATTTGGTTATTTAAATTGTTTTAGTTTAGTTTAATTTGTAGTATTTAGTGTAAAATTATCTTCTCGATTGTTTTTAGCACTTTTTTATAAAATAATGAATATAAAAATGTGAAATTTTGTTTTTAAAATAAAATATAGTAGTATGCAAAATAATATTATAATCGTTATTTGAATTGTTTATCTTTTTTTTTTTCTTCTTTTTAGCTTTTGTTTTATTGGTATTATATAATATAAATCAAGCTGCGTAATTGTTTTAGACCGCAACAAAATTACTTTGGTTGGTTGGTTTTTTTTTTACACTCAAAATATTTAGTCCCAGAAGTTCCTTTTTGTGAATGCACTTTTTAAAAATAAAATAATAAATGTTACGCTAAAAATGGGGAAAAATATAAACTATTAGAAAAATATTTATTTTAAAATAAAATAAATAAAATCTTAATTATATAAATAATCTCAATTATAAAATAATAAATATAAAAAAGTGATTTTTCACTTGCGTCGCGTTCAACTCGAGCAGCGGTCTAAAACAGTTTATTTAATCACCAAACGGACACAAGTTTACTTCAAGAATGGACAGTTTGGCATGGATGAGTTTGAAGTTCGGTGTTTAAAAAACGGAGCAAACGGAAAGAGATAGCGCAACCTATATTATAGCTCTATAAATGAAGCATAGACTTTACTAGAGCCACAGAAAGACAAACGTAATCGGCAAAACCGATACATCGGTTGACCTCTAATATGGACTTCAGTAAATTATGCTCTTGGGCACAATAAGCAAGCAATAACGATACGCCCCGTTTTTATAGCATCAAATTACTAGCTAAAATCAAACTTTTCACAAAAAAAACGAACAATTGAACATATATCAGCGTGATAACAACTACCTTAAATGACCAAAACCATCTTTCGGAAAATTGTATTGGAAGTGTAATTCTTTTTTTTTTTTTTTGACACAAGTCCCATTCGTTTACATGGAGAGGGCGGGGTTTATGACCTGTACTGCAGCCAGCCACCAGGGGGCGATCAAAGATCCCGCAGCTTCACTTTTCAGGACGTGTGAGGCACACCCGGTGGAGATAATGGTGTCCATCTCGGGCTCACGTTCACAGCGCACAAACAAGTCTTCTCTCAGTAGTGTTGATGAGGCATGTGTGGCACCTGACTACATTAAACACAGACTGGTCACCGGCCGCCTCGCACTGTGACACAGCTTTCCAGCAGTCGCACAACACATTTCAGCATTTGATCTGAGTCTCTGCTTCTACTGACCTGACAGTGGTCTGAGAGCGTTTCACAAAACTGTCTTGGTGTCATTTCTGGGAATAATGGTTTAAAAAAGTGCCAAAGGCTTATTCAGCAGGGATTTTAAATTTCGTGAGCAAGAATAGAACCAAAGCCTTTTACATGAGCATGTGATTCAGACATGAAACAGACCAGACTCTTGGATCTAGAGGGGGTCGACAGAATGATCAGTGTCGCAAATGCCACAAAATCAACGTTGATTATAATCAGAAATGTTTCTTGAGCAGCAAATCAGCATATTAGAATATATTAGAAGACTGGAGTAATGATGCTGAAAATTCAGCTTTGATCACAGGAATAAATTACATTTTAAAATATATTCAAATAGAAAACAGTTATTTGAAATTGTAATAATATTTCACAATATTACTATTTTTACTGTATTTGAGATCAAATAAATGCAGCCTTGGTGAGCAGAAGAGACTTTTCAAAAACATTTAAAAAATCTTACCAACCTAAAAATTAGCATGTACATGTTAAAAAGACAAAAATGTTTATAGTGAATGTCACTTGAAATTCTATTAAGTATAATTAAATGTATTAATTAGAGCTGCCATGTGCATAACTTTATTCTAATATTCAAAAGTCATTCCCATGTAGAAAGGAAAGTAATGTTTATTGTCTTTTTTATTTGTATTAGTTTTTTTTTTTTATATGTCTATTTAGTTTTTATTAGTTTTTATTATAATTATAAACTTATCAATTTCAGTTGTAGTTATTTTATCAACTTAAACTACATTAAAATGAGAAATGTCGCCTTGCAAACAAGCTGAAATAAAATATTAACTATAATAAGCCTGGTCTGACTGAAATTCTATTAAGTATAATTAAATGTATTAATTAGAGCTGCCATGTGCATAACTTTATTCTAATATTCAAAAGTCATTCCCATGTAGAAAGGAAAGTAATGTTTATTGTAATGTTTATTGTCTTTTTTATTTGTATTAGTTTTTTTTTTTTTATATGTCTATTTAGTTTTTATTAGTTTTTATTATAATTATAAACTTATCAATTTCAGTTGTAGTTATTTTATCAACTTAAACTACATTAAAATGAGAAATGTCGCCTTGCAAACAAGCTGAAATAAAATATTAACTATAATAAGCCTGGTCTGACATACTTGATATCACAATCATAAACAGATTGTGTCTTTTTTTATTACTGCACAGCAGCATCACTCCAAATGAATGGTGAACATTTATGTAAACTTTGCAATCTATTGAACCTATTTGTTAAAAGTAATTTTTTGAGATGAAGATTAAAATAAGAAATTGCCACAGTTGTGAGAAATACAGTCACAAAATGTCAAAATTAGTAAAAAATAAATAAATAAATAAATAAAAATCCTCGTGGATCTTTAAAAGATTTGATGCCACTGAGCTGGCAAACTTGTGC